TATACAGGTGTGATTGACCAGATCAACTTGACCTTCAGCGCCTCTCCCTTCTACAGAGGTTCGGCATTGGGGCTGAAAGTCCCAACCCTCTAGTCACAAGGTTGGTTCCCCTGGCAACCAGCCCTCACCCTGATGCTACCTTGGAGCTCCCAATCATAAGAAGAGACTCATCATAAGAACACTCAGCATAAGAAAAGACACTTATCACTTTGGAGATTCCAAAGATTTTAGGAGTTGTATGCCCAGAAACAGGGTCGATGGCTAATTATGGTAAATACTCCCCAATATCACACGTACTATAAGCAGCACTGAATTCAGAGCTAGAAGATCTCAGTTCCAGATCCGACTCTGACGCTGACTGGCTGAACGAAATTTGGCAAACACCTTGGCTGTGTGCGCAAGTTTCTTTCTCTGTGATATGGGGCTCGTGACAGCGTGTCTCCAGTGAGATGACACCTGGACAAGCCTTCCTGTTTCTACGTCCTGAATAGGTCTAGAGTCCACACTCTCGTCTACACCACCATCACCTGCTCACCTGGACCTCTAGCCCTGGAATTCACCTTTCCTCCTCCTCCCAACCCTCAAAGAGTCCTCTTCCTGGGAAGCAGCATAATTTTAAAATACCTTTCCTAATGAGGCTACTTTTTAGGGAAATTTTCAAACACATCAACTCATGCAATGAACTCCCATATACCCCTCACTCAGCCCCAACAACTACCAACATGCTCTGGTTCCTGTTTTATCCATTCCGTTCACACAAGTGCATCCTTAGTTTTTCTTTTTTGAAGTATTTCAAATGAAATCCCAGACATCAAACTCTCACCTGTCAATATTCCCATGTATATACTTCTTCTAGAAAAGCAGTGTGTCTCAGCGATGAATTTTTATGGCCTGTTTGTTTTAACCAGGTGCCAACAAAGTCCTCACTTGGCATTTGATTAATATGTCTCTGATGTCTCTTCTGACCTGTACCAATTCTCCCTTCTTCTTTTTCCCCCATGCCATTGATTGGTTGCAGAAAATGGTAATCTTGTAAAATCAAATCATGTCACTCAACTACTAAGAGATCTCTAATCGCTTGTCACTGCTTCACAGAATAAAGTAAAAAAACTCTAGCAGTCTTTTATTCATTCATTGAACAAAATCACAACAGAGCACCTACCAGGGGCCACCGCAGGACCCTTGGTATTGGGGAGATGAGTTTGATAAACATGGGATGCAGAAGAAAAGAGGCCAGGAAAGGAGAATAAAATAAAAAAAGCCACACTGACTCCATTTTTAAAAAAAAACTTAATTGATTTGTTCTCTTCTAGCCCAAGAAGCTGACTGTGCATTAGAATTTACTGCTTGATGTTTACTCTTGGAATTTGTTATTACCAAGAAACCCATCACTTACATAAACCTAGCTGACATTGTTTAGAGAAATCCTGGGAAAATGGGATGACTTACACATGGAATAGCCTAGAAGATTATTAACCATTACATTTACTTACAAATTGAATAGTCTAAATTAGAGTAGCCATAAATAT